TGGCATAAGAAACACTGTGTAGAAAGAAAGAAAGAAAGAAAGAAAGAAAGAAAGAAAGAAAGAAAGAAAGAAAGAAAGAAAGAAAGAAAGAAAGAAACTGCAAGCCCCAGAAATTATCATGTTTTTCAATGACTTCCTGAAAACAAAAGCCTAGTTTACGCACTCTGCTTGGCACAAAAAAAAATCACACTGTATTTCCCAAATTTTGCTCACTGTGACCTCTTCCACAGTTTCAATCAGAATTCTGTCAAACATCTTCACAAACATATTTAACAATCTAATCTCCCTGTAATCCTTACATTCATTTTTGTTAGCTTTCCTTTTGTATAAGGAAACAGTAACAGCATTCTTCCAATTGTTAAGCCCAGATGCAGTTTTTCACATACATGTTAAGCAAGATACGCACAGCCACTCCACAGACAAATTGTATTCACATGTGGACATTTCTCCAATTATATAATCCGCTCTAACTGATACCAACATTCTCACAGAAGATGTGACTTACTTTTCATACATTTTGCTTGACCCTTAACAGTTATGGTGCTTTTAATTTTACTTTTTGACTTTTCACTATCATCTCCCTATAAACTATAAATATAAAATTAGAAAGATTCCCCCCCTGCTAACTTCATCTCATACCATTTCATCACTTTTATTTTTCATTCCCCTCTTCTTCTGATTATTTCCCCCTCCCAAAAAAACCCAAATCCACTTCACTTTGGTCTCTAAACTTTATCATTCCTCGCTCTCTGCACCTAACTTTTTGTCTTTTTATATATTGTATAAGGTTATAAAATAACCCTTTTCTCATTCTATTTTTATAATTTCCTTAGATCAGGGGTCTTCAAACTTGGCCCTTTTATGACTTGTGGACTTCAACTCCCAGAATTCCTCAGCCAGGCACACTGGCTGAGGAATTCTGGGAGTTGAAGTCCACAAGTCATAAAAGGGCCAAGTTTGAAGACTCCTGCCTTAGATGATTTTTTTCTCATTCACAACCACTTTTGCTTTCATATTCATAAAGCATTTTTCCATAATTTCAATCAGTCTAATTTCTCAGATTTAAGGGGTTGGTGAACAAGTTAGAGTAGGCCAGGCACAGACTACATATGAATCAGGTGAAACCAGGAGAGAGCTAGAAAAAGCTGACGTACATACAGTACATATGTCATACATATGAGGCTAGCAGTGATATAAGTTTATTAAATAAATGAGAAATGTAGCTACTGAGTAAAAAAAAAGACTACACATTTTCCCTATAGTGCAGCAATATTGATTTTTAAAAGTGAAACCAAATTCTAATCTGTCAAAAAGAAGGTGTTTAATATCTCTTGAAATAAACTTTCTCAGTAGACAGATAAAAAGAAATGTTTCCACAAAACAGAATAAAAAAACTAGAAACAACCTATTAGATATTAAACAGAAAAACAGAAGTCTGTTTTATATAAATCTAGTGCATAGCAAGCCTCATTGCCTGTCCTCAGATAACATATACTAAGCCAAGATTTGTTTAACCACAGTTTATTAATTAAAGCCCATTTGTCTGTAATGACTGAACACAATAAATTATGGTTTACAAACCACAATAGCTGGATTTTATATATTATACTTCTGTAACTAATCTCATATTGACTTAGATCATGGTATGGACATATTTCCAGGCTAAAGACTATACTCCAACATTACTGGATAGGAGTCAGGATGAAAACTAAATATAATTTACATTAAAATGTAATTAAAATGAAAAAATAGTTAATTTGATTATGTCTCCCATTGTGTATCTGATCATTTTCACTTCCTGTCATATTATTATTCCAGTTTGGTGACAATCTGGAAAGCTCTGAGGATTACATATGACATTGGGGCCTGTCATTCAGTGTGAATGAACCCAAGAACTTTCATATAAACATGCGTGTGATTGTCGTTTAAATTTTCCATGCTCCTCAGTTAAGTTTCTTTGTTCTTACTTTTCTCTTAAGCAAAATAATTAGAAGCACTGGTTTTAAATACTGTTTAAATTTGGGCAGGAGAAGGTTTGTTTAGATGTCTAACATGGATAATTTGATTATGGCAGGTCTGCATAGTGAATGACAACTGTATATTTTATGACAATAAAATATCTCTGTCTTATAAAGAGCTCCCAAGCAAGAGCATCAGAAGATGAAAATTTTGTCCTTGTATATTTGCACTTTATAAACAAACCCTTGGCAGCTGCAATTGTAACAGATTCCCATGGGAAACAAAGATACAAAATTAAAAGAAGGAAAATACTAAAGAGTGAAATATTCATAATACTACAAGTTAATGTTTGTATTCTGAGATACATCAAATCTATATTTATATCCCTTCCAATTATAAACCTTATTAAAATCTGTCTAAATAAGTTCTATTGTCTCTCACATAATAGGTGAGAGGCCTGAACCTGTGAGGGAGAATAGTTAGTTTTGCCTAGAGACATGGCAGATGTAAAATTGTCCAGGGATTTCTACATGAATAGCACAGCATCTTTTCTCAAAGCTGTAGATAGGTAGGTAGGTAGGTAGGTAGGTAGGTAGGTAGGTAGGTAGGTAGGTAGGTAGGTCAACACATGGCTACTACTACAGTAGCTCTCCAAAAACAAAAATAGAGGAAAATCTCTAAGGAGTATAGATATAATATAAGTAATATGCTTAGCTTAAGTAAAGCAGTACTTCTTGATGCTGATATTTCAACAGCAAAGAGTAGTGCATTCCACACCACAATGTCAATGATGGGATCAATGTTTACTCCTTGCATTAAGAATTAGTATAATTTGAATTCCAGAAATCCTGAAAATGGTTTGACCCTATATAAAATTCATCTATATTATATTGAACTACACCATAAAGAACCATAAAGAATTACAGCTTGCAGTCTGCCCTAAGAACTGGTCTTTGCAGAAGAGATTTCATAGCTATTGAAAGATTTTCCCCAACTTAAAACAGCGGTCTGCATACATAGGAATAAAACTGCCAGATATATCATCAAAGCCACCAAATATATTTCAACACTGTGCCCAAATATTGATTCCTATGACAATTTTTCTATTCATGCTGAATGATATTGTGCTTAATTTGAAAATGCTCAATTACATCCTTATTTTAAAGATGACATTTTTGGTACTGACATAAACAGATTACCATTTATTCAAGTTACTGTTGTATATGGTTTAAGGAATATATTATCAAAATTACCACAGGAATACATTTCAACAGAAGGCTCAAAACTGATTCATCCATCACTCCAAGCTTGACCATAATACCATATGGGTAAATAATTCTATTCTGACTATTGCCAAGAAGCAGAGCTAAAACAGAAATTTCTTACCAAACAAGAAAAAAATGCAGAATGCAAAACACTGTGGAGGGCAATGAAAGCCAAATGCTTTAATTCATCTTGTATTTTTTTAGGCAATAAAATGCTATCATGGTTAACCTAAGCTATACCAGTATTTAAAAGCACCACAGGAATCATTGGTTACACAAAGACTTTATCCAGAAATCTTGTAATAAAATACTAAAAATAATCTGGTTTTAAACCGGCAGATGTCAGACAAATTTCCTTATGGATTTTTGTCTTTCAAAACGTGTAAGGCTTAGGTTTCCATGTCTGTCAGTTGCATTGATCCACAGAATTATAAAACAACTGTGTCTTTCTTTTACTCTGTGCCAAACTCACATCTTTTAAAAAGGTACTTCAGGCAATATCACACAGGCCATCAAAACAAATTACACCATACTAAATGCATCTCTTAAATTTTACTCCCTGTTGGATCAGAAGCAAAGAGAAATATAAAAAAAAATACAGTGGAATTCATTTTAAAAGGGTAATAAAGTAAAGCTTAAAACTTTTCAAGATGATGCTCAAAAGGAAATTCTACATAATGCTGCTCCAATATGCAATATAAATATGACCCTCAATTATTTTAGTAAGAAAAGGTAGCAAAGCAAAGAAAAAAATATATTCCAAGGTGCAAGCCCATTGACACAAACTATTAATGCAAGGCAAGGAAAACAGGAGACAGGATACCAAGCACCATAAACAAGCCTGTAAAGGACCTCATGATATTCAAGATTTTTCCAGCATAAACTACAGAAAGCACAAGGGATAAATAAATGTATGTGATTCTTAGATACTACATTTTCCTTTCACTAATAGAAAGGAATTTTATCAGTTTAGTCAATTTCTCCCTCCCATCATAACCTCCAAAATCTCCTTGTTTGGGATGGTTAGCAATCCTCCAGTGTATATTTTTATGGAAATGCAACAGAGAATAGAATCAGTAAAAATTGTTTCGCTTTCCACCAACAGGAACTTTCCATGAATGGAATGAGAGCACAATCCAGTAAGTACCAGATTATTTGCTCTGGATATAAATTGTTTGTTTCATTCTAGATGCAAGTGAAAATTTTGTTTACTGAATATTCAAAATGAACTGTGATATTTGAAATGTTTAAAATTATAATTTTTAAGCAAAACTTTCTGAAGTAGGAACAGATCTAGAGTTCAATTCAACCTACAATTATCTGTTTCAGTTTTAACCAACAGTTTTATTTATAGAATAACAGGACATGAACTGTTTTCAATGTACTTATAATAGAAACAACACTTCATTAGACAAATTAGAAATAAGAGTACATTATGGGGAAAAAATATAAGTGCATCACCAAAATGAATTTGAAAAATTATAAAAGTCAGAGAATTATTTTAGGTAGAAAATCATGCAGAAAGGCAACTTAAATCCTATTAATCATGATTCAATTTACACACCCAGTATACGACTGCAACTTTAAGAGTTACCTGAAATAGGATTTATTCATCTCCTAATCAAAACTAAACTTGTTTTTAAAATAAGAAAATCCATTAAAATCTCTAACAAAGGTTCTATCAAAATTAACGACATTTAGACAGAGGCAGAACTTAATCTATTGTACTCCGTCTTTTTTTACAACAGATATTAATTTTCATTAAAAGAGCATTACCACAGTTTGGGACTGGCTTCTCCAGCAGAGATATTCTCTGGTTGTAGTCATTTATACAGTAAAAATCCTGAATTTCTGCTTTTGGAAACTTGGTGTCTTGGAATACTTTGATCCACATAATATCACAGGAACACTTGAAAGGGTTGCCTTCTAAAATCCTACAACAAAAAATTAGATTTATATGAGGTTTAAGAAAAAATAACAGTTGACAAATCAAAGACACTTTAAATAAGGCTGGGCAGGTCTAAACAATGATAAAAACAACAGATAAAAGCATATTGAATCACATTTGTCTCTGATCTGGCCCACAATTGGAATAAAACACTTCTCATCCCTGTCCAAATAATGTACTTATTTTCCCACTGATTCATATGTGGATATTTAAATATAATACTGGCATTGCATGGAGGTTCCTGAGCTTTAATCTACTAATCAGCTAAAACTATATATCAATAAAATAGTACTTCTCTGGTTCTCATGGCATTCATTGGATCAAAACATATTCCCTTTTGCATCTGTGTGAAAGGGATATCTCTTCTAAGATGAGGTCCCAAATCCTCTTTGTTTGATTTTGTCCAAAAGAGTTTTAACCCATTTATCTAGTTTAGTATTCGACAATCTGGTCTCTTCCAAATGTGTTAGGACTATAATACCTAACTTTCTTAGACACATTTGGAGAGAAATGGGTTTGAAAAAGCTGCAACTCAGAAATCTGGTCTTGACTGGGAAGAAAAGAATGTCATTTTCTTCAATTTGGTAGAAACAAATATTCTGGACCTTGAACAAGAATCATATTTAATTCTCAGTATACAGTGTCCCATAATACAGTTTTAGATGTTTTCTATTATTGTGGATAAACTGAGCTCCCCCTTATGGTCAAACGTTACAGAAATATATTTCAAGCAAACGATACCAATACATGAAAAAGTCATCTATTAAACTCTTGGAACAAATGCAAAAATGGCTTAAGTAATATTTGAAACTATAACAACAAATACTGGGTTCTAAGGCTTAGAGGAATATATAAGGTCACACTGAGGAATTAAAATGGAATCTTTATTACCCACTTAAAATTAACACATCCAGGAAAGCCTATTTAATTACGTACTTAAAGTATTTCTCGTACTTAATGTATAAAGAAGCTAGAATAAAAAAAGAAATAGCAAAAAGTCCAGATGTCTGGCTCAGACAAGGAACATTATCTCAGCTTTGCTTATAAAAGCATAACCTATATTTCATGAGCTAATTCATTGATGTACCACTTGTTGCCCCTAAGACATTTTATTAAGATGAAACAATCCAGCACTAATTATAACAATCTACAGGCAGTACATTTGATTTGGTCTTCCAGATCCCTCTGTCAATGTAATCTCATAGGGAATTCACAGCAGTTTAAATGTTTTCGAAGCTGTCTGAGTAGATCAGCTCAACTAAATATTCAGATCAAAGAGATTGACAAATTTATGACAAAAGAGTCTCTTCATCCAGAGTACTTTGTCTGATTGTTGACAGCCTCTCTGAAATAAAGCATTATTATTTTTAACTGGATAGATGGATGTTAGGCTTTGGACAAATGACAGTCTATGGAGAATGGTCAGATATAAGGGAATAGGTGTTGCAATGTGGCACACCTGCAGATGGACAAGCAGGTGGTTAGTGCTGCAGTATGGCATGAGTGTAGCTCAGTAGGAAGGTGAGCAAGTACTGAGAGCAGAAGAGGTGGACAGGTGCGGCACAAGTGCAGGTGGGGAGTGAGTGCAGCAGAGTGGTGTGAGGACGTCGGTGCTTTGGCCTGGTACTAGCTCAGCCAAGTAGATAGAGGATGAGTGCTACAGCCGAGTGCAAATGTAGTCAGGTGGATATGAGTACAAACAAGAGCCGAGGTGGCGCAGCAGTTAGAGTGCAGTACTGCAGGCCACTTTAGCTGACTGTGTTCAGCAGGTCAGCGGTTCAAATCTCACCGGCTCAAGGTTGACTCAGCCTTCCATCCTTCCGGGGTAGGTAAAATGAGGACCCAGATTGTTGGAGATATATATATACATTGCTTACTGGTGTACACTTAAAGCGGTATATAAGTCTCATAAATAAATAAATAAATAAACAAGGGGGTGCTCTGGGCAGGCACTAATAAATAAACAAGGGGGTGCTCTGGGCAGGCACTATGGAGTATGAGATCCCTGGAATCCCTTACTCAGTAATGTGGATCCTCAGGAGAAAAAAGAGTGGGAGCAGGAGTGACTTACAGGAAAATTTTGCAAACTTCCCTGTCAGCTTTTCCATGACTTTCCTTATGGAAAGCCAACAGGGAAGGTCACAAATGGTGATCATGTGACTGTTGCAAATTTTGTAAATGTCAGCTGGTTGTCACTCACCCAAATTCATCATGTATCGTGGTGCTGCAATGATAAAACTTCAAGGACTAATCACAAGTACCATTAATTCAGCACCACCAAACCTTTGAACAGTCACTGATTTAGTGGTTGGAACCTGAGGATTACCTATATCTTCAATCTATAGTCATGGATTGTTCTTGGCTTACCTGGACTAGTAGTAATTTTTCATACTATCCACATATGGACTAATGGCTAGTTCAGAGTTAAGGAGCCTTTAGTATGCATGGTGACTACAGAAAACCCCAGGACTATTTACAAAGTAAAACCATTCTTGCAACAATGGCTCTCTTGCTTCAGTGTGGTTAGCCTAAACACAAAATTATTTTGATGCTTGGAAGAGTAGCCACAATAGGCCCTCGGCTATATGTTCCCTGGACTGTGTCCCATATGTTAAATGCACATTTACCCAACAGACATATTTAAAACACACACTACTGTAAAATAAATTTTACTTTTCCAAGAAACAAACTTTAAATGTTTTCTTGCTAGAATCTAAATCCTAAAATACTGTGCCTTGTAATAATGCTAATAAAATTCATTATAACAACAAACTTGATTTTTCAGAAAAGCAATTACTTACAGATCTGTCAAATTCAGATGGCGGAAAGTCTTCCTGGACAAACTTGAAAGCTTGTTTCTGGAGAAGTTTCTATAAAGAAACAATGTCATGATTAAAAATGAGGACACAAAAGAGTTTTGAGAGACACATCCCAGGAAGTTAAACTCTGTCAAACAACTCCTGCTGATGAACTTCAAAACTGATACAGATTGTATCCTAGCTTGACATCTAGAATGGGCACAGATAAACACTGATTGCAACATGTACCTTAAAACAATTCAGTTCAAATGAAGGAAAAAAAACATTGGATTAAGTTTTACTCCAAAGATGTTCTCAGATGTTGACTAAACGCTCAATTTATTCATAAGCAAAATAGATGTTTACCATTTCATCTTTGATCCTACATCAAAGGTTTTACTTTTCCAAACCCTGACTATATCCCAAACAACTCCATCACAAGCTTTTTAGAAATACTTTTTTAAATTATGTGTTTACAGCAAACATCATGGAAAAATGGTAACATGACATCATTAAACCTTTCAGTTCAATTAAGTATTTACTGTACTATATTGCAATACACTTTAGCATCTTCCATTACAATGAAAATCAGATGCATTCTTGCTCCTGACTATATTCACAGGATCACATACACTGTGGTAGGCATTCCTTTAGTAAAGAATATTTAAATTGGACATTAAATTGGACAAAATATAAAGATTTCCAGACCAGCAGCACCTTTCTTTTTATTTTCCATAGGAAATATATTATCACTGAATAAGATATAGGCTCCCTGCCACAATAAAAATCAGAAATGTTACCAAGTAATGCTTGTCTGAACTTTTTCATTCCAGATCCACCTACCATAAGTATACAACAGTTTCCTGTATTATGTTTTACACCAGGGCCAATTAGGTGAAGATGTCAAAATCATGAAAAAAGTGGTATGGCCAAAAATATCTAATAGAATAGGTACATACTAGAAATAATGTGCAGTGTTACCACTATGATCCTGGTAGAAAATGTCCTAACTCATTGGTGTCAAACTCGCCATGTCTCGTGACGTGTCGCAACATTTCACAACTTCTTCCCCCTTGCCGGAGCTGGAGTGGGTGCAGCTTCTGCGTGACGCGTCTGGCCCATGGGCCGGCAGTTTGACACCCATGTCCTAACTCATCCATGATGTAATAATACCACATGAATGAAGCAGAGTTTAATTATTTTTTTTGTAAACAGGTGTTTCATTGAGGTTCATGTATATGTACATCTTACTTCCTTAAAAGCCTATCCTAAAACACCTTTTTCTTTTTCAATTCTTTTAATTCCTCTGGAAAACAATTGGAAGTGATGCCTCCCCCATTTGATGATTTGCCACCAAATTTCAGAAAAGTAATCATTGTGGACTGAAGAAAGCAACATCTGAGGAATACAGTACATAGAGCCAATGAGTTGCCCATTCTTATTCTAAACTATACTGAAAATTAACCCATTTTTTTAGGATTCCATGTTATGAGCAACACTGTTAGCTGAAAACAAAAATAAAAGCTTCTCTTTGTTTTATATCTTAAGAAGGGAGTAAAATACTTAAACTGTTTCTTAACTTTTATCACTCTAGTGCCAGCCAGATGTTTTTGACTACAATTTGCAGAATTCTCAGCCAGTATGCCCAATTATTGGTGAACATAGCATATTGAGATAATCAATTTGTGGTGCAGTCCTTATGGCAAAGCTATAATGTTTTGCCAAGATACATCTCTCATATGAATTGATTGTTCAACTTACAGGGACAGTAAGGTTAATCTGAAACTACACCTATAGCTGCGTTGACTAAAGGTAATCTAGCCCAGTGTTCTCCTCTCTCTACAACCAGTTTCTTATCAAAAAACTTTTTTCTTCTTGCCACTATCCTTTTTCTTCCACAAACAGAAATGTTACTATTCCCTCTAGCACATATATTTGTCTTATCTTAATACAGTAGGAACACCAAAGCAGACCAAGGAAATATCAATAAAAAGTTCTGGTGACACTTTCCTCTTATGATACCAGGGCCAGCCTATGCATAAGTAACAAAAGTAGCAGAAAATATTCTTTATTATGTCTGCACAATAGAAAGACATGCACACAGCAAGATGCAGTGATCTTTTTTGAAAATATAGAAAAGATTTTCAGACTTTTCTATTAGAATGTTGCTCTGATATTACAGTTTACATTTAAGCAATGTCTGTGGAACTTTTAATTTCCTTTGTTTACAATATTACTGATTTTTATCATCCTAAGTTACTAAAGACAGCCATTTTGTCTACATAAATTTCACCTAGGTGATGGGGAAAAGGCAAATATGTTTATAAAAATATTGTATTTAAAGTTCTTTAATATTTGATACTAATGAGGTTGGTGGATACGTCTATGTTAGTATTGATATTTTTAAATTATTTATATTGCAGCATATCTGTTGTAAAAGGATTTTAAATGAAATTAAAGAGATCTCCTATAAATTGATTAAACCCCAAATATTTTTTTTAAACTGGAAGTTCATATAATTTATGTCTATGTTTATCTTCTAAAAACAGAAAGCTTCTAAATCACAAATGTGCCAAATTCTTGTTAAGAGAAGACACAGGGAAATTATTAATGTACATTATCACTATAAGAATGTAAATTAACATATATCCCAACAAAGCAATGTTTTTTTAAAAAAAAACATACGGTAATACTTTTCCCTAATGAAAGATAGTTCTGTCAGTACTCTTTATAAAATGTGTTATATACAGATATATATATATATATATATATATATATATATATATATATATATATATATATATATATATAATGGAATGAATGAATAAAGCGCGTTCACCAGGAGAGTTTAAAGTTAAAATACTTCAATTAAAGTATTTTACTATATTAAAAGGTTGCCAAGCTTTCGTTGGGAAAACTCCCCAACATCTTCAGGGCTGAGAGACCGTTTCTAACAAGGTGATTCAAACGGGTTCCATAGACGTCTGCGCGTGGTTCCTAGACTGTGCTAGCATTCCCTGCTGAACAGCTGATAGGTGGGAGGGGGAATCGGAGTAAAGATTTCTTCCGTCGTTCTCTCGAGCACTTTTGTTCACATTTCCGTCGACCTCAGGGGGTATTGTTAAAGTTATGTTCCGCCCTCTCCCGGCAGTACTGGCTCTCGTTGCAGTGGGGGGATTTAGTTTGATGTCATTGTGTATCCTACCATGGAGGCGGGGCTTCATCGGCTGCAATTTAACATCTTTCCTCTCCTGCGTGCTCCCATATTTATCTTCGCTCGCATGTACAAGCATCAACTGGATGTGGTATTTTTCAATGTTTGAATCATCCTCCTCCATCATGGTGTCCCCATGCCGGGAGAGGGCGGAACATAACTTTAACAATACCCCCTGAGGTCGACGGAAATGTGAACAAAAGTGCTCGAGAGAACGACGGAAGAAATCTTTACTCCGATTCCCCCCTCCCACCTATCAGCTGTTCAGCAGGGAATGCTAGCACAGTCTAGGAACCACGCGCAGACGTCTATGGAACCCGTTTGAATCACCTTGTTAGAAACGGTCTCTCAGCCCTGAAGATGTTGGGGAGTTTTCCCAACGAAAGCTTGGCAACCTTTTAATATAGTAAAATACTTTAATTAAAGTATTTTAACTTTAAACTCTCCTGGTGAACGCGCTTTATTCATTCCATTTATAATTATGCCCGGGAGTCGCATTTTCACCATCATTATTGAATATATATATATATATATATATATATATATATATATATATATATATACCCCTCCAATAGCCAACGGGAGAGCTTATACACTATCACAACAATCTTGGATAGCTGATAGTCAAAACAACATTTCTTCCATCCTCTGCTTTCCCCTGTACTCATCCAATATCCTCCTCTTTTCTAACGGATGAGATATTTCTGTAGAAGTAAATTTTGTAAATGAATCAGTACATAGTTCCTTAGCAGCTATTTGTCCCTAAAGATAGAACTTTTAAAGTCATTTATGTAAGATCTTTAGCCTTTGCTATATCTGACAGTGGAAATTACTTATGTTAAAGAGCAAGATCAGTAAATCACATCTTTATTTAAAAGACAACGTTGCAATATGTATCCAAAAATAGCTGGATGTTTTCCAGTCATCGTTCCTTCTAATACTAAACTTGGACAGTCCACTGCCATCTGTTTGGCAGTAAACTGTCTAACCATTTTGCTGAAAATGTCATTTGAACAACAGAAAAGGAAAATGAGTATGTATCGATTGGCTGCCATATGCAGCTCTAGCAATTTATAATACTCTCAAATGGGAGGAGGAATTTGGGTCAGGAGACAGATACATAATTAGCAAGAAGAGAATTGCTGCATTAGTTTAAAGGGCCTTCTAGTCAACTTAATCTTCCTATCATGATCAATCACATGTCCATATGAAAACATCAGTTTCTGGGCTTCCCATATATCCTCCTGCTTGCATTCCCTAACAACTAAAAGTGGATTATACCCAGCAACGTTGCAGTGAGCACAATATCTTTGTAACTGGATGTATATTATATATGTAGGATAGATATATGGGAAGAGAGGTGCCTAGGTATACTGTACTATACTGTGCTTCTCTCTCTCTCTCTCTCTCTGTGTGTGTGTGTGTGTGTGTGTGTGTGTGTGTGTGTGTGCACGCTAAATCTCCTTCACACCTAATATAGGGGAAACATATATTTATCTTTTTCCAGACACTTTTTGCTCTTGTATACAGTGATACATGGTCCATGGGGTCAGGAAAAGTCGGACATGACTTAACAACTAAACAACAACAGTGATATATTCTAAAAAGTGGCAACCAGTCACAAGCCTGAGTCCAGCAATATAGTACAGAAGACAATATTTTAAATCCCCACTGATAATTAAATTATTCTGGTTGTTCTAAAGTCATAAAGTGGGTTTTCACTTACATGTACTGTAGGTTAATATTTTTCAGGAAAGCTTGGCGTGAGACAAACTTCAAGCCTGAGTCCACCACAGTTCTGTAAAAGTACCCAAGCACAAGTTACAATTACTGAGTGATCTATCATACATTCCTTTATTTATGGAGAGTATAGCATGTAGCCCAAAGAATTTCAGAATAAATCATGGTTCAATATTGTTATTATATTGGCCAATTCAGCAATCTGTGATCCGTGTGAAAAAAAAATTATATTCGCTATAATGTGTAAGTCAGCTTCATGAATTACATCCATGCATAAATAGAACAGAACAGAACAGAATAGAAGCTGGAAGGGACCTTGGAGGTCTTCTAGTCCAGCCCCCTGCTCAAGCAGGAGAACCTATACCATCTCAGACAAGTGACTGTCTAGTCTCTCTTTAAAAATCTCCAGTGATGGAGCGCCCACGATTTCTGGAGGCAAGCTGTTCCACTGGTTAATCGTGCTCACTTTTAGGAAGTTTTTCCTTAATTCCAGGTTGCTTCTCTCTTTGATCAGTTTCCAACCATTGCTTCTTGTCCTTCCCTCTGGTGACCCCCTCTTCTTTCTGGCAGCCCCTCAAATACTGGAATACTACTATCATGTCACCCCTATTTCTTCTTTTCTTTAGACTAGCCAAGTCCAAGTACCGCAACCATTCTTCGTATGTTTTAGTCTCCAGGCCTTTGATCATCTTAGTTGCTCTTCTCTGAATTTTTACAAAAACTCTCAACGTCTTTTTGGTGATATGATGACCAAACATGGCTGTAGTATTCCAGGTGTGGTCTTAGTAGGGTTTTATAAAGTGGTACTAATACTTAATGTGATCTTGATTCTATGCCTCTGTTTATACAACCCAGGATTGTATTAGCTTTTTTGGTTGCTGCTGCACACTGCTGGTTCATAGTCAAGTGATCATCCACTAGGACTCCAAGGTCCCTCTCACAGTAACTGTTTTTGAGCCAGGTCTCGCCCAGTCTATACTTGTACCTTTGATTTTTCCTGCCTAAATGTAAAACTTTGCTTTTCTCCACAATGAAACTCATTTTGTTGGATAGGCCCATTGTTCAAGTTTGTCAAGATCTTTTTGGATCCTGAGTTTGTCTTCTGGGGTGTTGGCTACTCCTGTCAGTTTGGTGTCATCTGCCAATTTGATGAGTTCCTTCTCAATTTCCTCATGTAAGTCATTCATGAAGATATTGAAGAGTACTGGGCCTAAGATCGAACCTTGTGGTACCCCACTGCTTGCTTCTCTCCATGTGGATGTGGTACCATTGAGGACTACTTGTTGAGTATGGTTTGCCAGCCAGATAAAGATCCATCTGGTGGTGGTGTTGTCTATTCCACCTTTTTCTAGCTTACCAAGGAGTAAGTTGTGGTCTACTTTATCAAATGCCTTACTGAAATCTAAGTATATACATCCACAGCATTTTGCTGGTCTACTAGTTTAGTCACTTTATCGAATAATGAGTTGCTTCTTTTAATGAAATATATGAAGACAATGACCTATGTAAGACCTCAGTACATTCCATTATAAAGCTTACACAGTGGGCAAAGTATGTCATTTATAATACTAAATATACATAATTAAAATATTTACTTACAAATTTCTTAATCCAGTGTACAGTCCAACATCTATTTCATTTATGCTTTCTAAACCCCGCTGGTTTGCAATATAACTGTTTAAAGGGACAAAAAAAGAGGAAGAGAGAAATGTTACTATGGTAGTATATTATTTTCTTATTTATGTATAATAGGCATACAAATAGCAGTTGTCTGACTTGAAAATGGGAAAATGGAGAAATAAATTGTTCCTCTATTACAATATGATACAGCAGGGCAGATGTGCAGAAACATATTAAATACTATAATACCTTAAGAGGCCTTTTGCAAGATGGAAGCAGTGGTTCTTAAACTAGGGAAAATAACACCAAGGGGTTAATTTGGGTATAATCTGGGAGTGATGGAGCAATTTGTAATAGATTGTTTGTGAATCAAGGATTCAGTATAGGGTTGTCACTGTGGAGATGTTTATGTAAAATAAGTGTCTGGTGGGTGGGTGTTATGTGTGAAAGAGAAAGAGAAAAAGGAGGAGAGGGGAGAGGGAGAGGGAGAGAGAAACGACATTATTCAAGACTGAGGAAAAGGGAAATCAGTCAAAAAGTTTAAGAACCATTATACAGGTAGTCCTCAACTTATGACCATAATCGCATCCAAAATTTCTGCTGTTAAGTGAGACATTTCTTAAGTGAGTTTTGCCCTGTTTTATGACCTTTCTTACCACAGTTATTAAGTAAAATCCTGCAGTTAAGTTAGTGACAGGGTTGTTAAGTGAATCTGGCTTCCCCACTGACTTTGATTGTCAGAAGGTCGCAAAAGATGATCACATAACCCTCGGACGCTGCAACTGTTATAAAAATGGACCACTTGCCAAGCATCTGAATTCTGATCCTGCAACGGTCATAAGTGTGAAAAATTTTCATGTCACTTTTTTCAGTGCTGTTGTAACTTTGAACAGTCACTAAACAAATTGTTGTAAGTTGAGGACCACCTGTACTAGAATCTTAGTAGTCCAGTTCTGGCATTTATACCATAATACTTTCATCTGCTGCTCTTTTGATTCACTCTTTTTCTGTTAAACAGAACCAATAACTAGTCAATAATAATATAGTTCCTAAATTCTATCTATATACTACATGATAGAAATAATGGAGAAGAAACTAGTTTGGTCCCTATTTTAATATAATGTTTTTAATTTGCATAGACCAAACCAAATCAGAAATAAAATATGCAGTTATCATTCAGTTGCTTTTTCTGAATTTTCCACATTGCCCCCATAAAAAGAATGGGAAAATAAAAAAATACATAGTACATAGAATAAAAAGTATTAAAAAGACTCCTGAATAGAAGCAAATTATTACATTTTGTAAAACTACATTAAAAAAAACCTTAGGTAAGCCAAATCATCTGCAAAGGTTTTGATAGAATTACACATAAAATATGTACCTATTTTCATAAGAAATTTGCTTTTTGAATATTATGAATGCAAGGAAAGGAACTCAAGGATGGAAAAATGAGGTACCGTATCATAATTTACATAATCAATCTATGAAAAATAATGACCAATAATATGCAATAAGAGAAAGTATATATTGGAAGATCTGAAAAAAACAGCTTAGGGACAGAGCATCATGGAGAAAATCTATCTATACCAGTGGTTCTCAACCTGTGGGTCGGGACCCCATTTGGGGTTGAACGACCATTTCACAGGGGTCGCCAAACAACGCAGTCCGCCATTTTTTTCCCCCTTTTCCTTAGCTGTGCTACTCCCTTTTATTCTATTGGCTTTCGAAAGCCAATAGAAATTGTCCAGGCTGTCTCTGCCCTGCTGAGCCCGTCAAAAGTCCCATTCTGCAAACAGTGCTGCACCAGTTGAGTAGTCCTCGACTTACAACCGGTTGATTAGTCCTCGACTTACGACCAGTTGGGGGTCACAGCATTAAAAAGGTTGAGAACCACTGATCTATATGGTCAGGAAGAATCAATGCCAACTTGGGTGTCAATAGCATGTAAATCAATTAGTTAGATTTATGTATTTATCACTGGAGACAGTGGCAGAAACTCTGAGAATTACAGTAGTCAAGTCTTAATATAATAAGATTAAAAATATAAATATTCTTCTGATAATTACATGGATATGATCATGCAATTTTCTTGCAACAATATAGAAGGAAGATTGGGGATATTTTAAACTCATTATCTAGCTTAAACAGTCCTTACAAGTTTGGATGTATTATTTCATTTGCTACTGAAGAATTTGTGGCAAAAGTTAGAACAGCAACTAATTGATTCAATATTGGGAAAGGATATACCAGGGTTGTTTGCTGTCAGCTTATTTACCTGATTTATTAAAAAAATATACCATGAGAAATATTTAACTAAAAAATAGGAATTAAAATTAATAACCATAGATATGCTGATAATACAATTTTCATGGCTAGAGTAAAGAAGATTTAAGGAAGCTCATGATGAAAATTAAAAAAAAAAAAAGCCTGCAGGGCTGGACTACTCTTTAGCATTAAAAATTTAAAAAGAAAGCTAAGATTATCTCAATAGCAATGCCAAACCAAAGCCAATAGACAGAGAACTTGGAACAATAGTAGACTTTATCTTTTGACCAATTTTTTTTTAAAAAATCACAAGACTGATAACTGTAGTCATGAAATAAACAGACCTTTGCTATCTAGGAGAAAGTTTATGACAGGTCTCCACAAAATACTGAAATGCAGAAACATTATATTGATAACAAAGATAGGTATTATCAAGGCTATAGGTTTTCCAGTTGTAGCACTTGGCTGTGAAAGCTGGATCCTTAGAGAGGTTGAAGGAAGGAAAATCAATGTCTTTGAACCGTATGGCACTGCAGAAAATGGTGGGAAAGATCTTGGACTGCCACAAGAACAAAACATTCAGTACCAGATGAAGGAAGCCAGATTATTCATTGGAAGCTTCAGCTGAGATATTTTGGACACATAATGTGAACTCAAGAGTTATTGGAGAATACCTTGATGCTTGGAAAAATCGAAGGCAATCAAGAAACTGACAGAAGATAAGGTGGCAAGATATGATCACTGACATCATGAAGAAGAGTTCCTTAAAACTCAAAGGAGCTGTTAACTGACAGATTAACCTTGCCAAGTGATTACCAGTGGGATGCAGAGGATTGGAAGTAACTGAAGGAAAAATAAATTGCATTGGCTACCTTATTTAAATGGCTAGATATTCCAAAAAAATTCTAATAGCTGTTTCTAGTATGTACTTATTATTTACATATTGAAATTATTTAAAGAAATCTACAATATTGTATTGGCTTCTGATATTATATATGTCCCCGGAATCGATTGTACAACATATTATTCCTCAAATCATGTTTTATATGATACTTCAGATATTCCAACATAAATTAGGTTGGTACACATGAAGTGCCATGAATATCATGTACATCCTGTAACAATGAAACACAGCAGGAGACGAACAGGAAAGCAGTAGAAAAATAAACAAAAGTAAAGCAGAAATGACAAGAGAGGTTTTTTTCACATTGGCATGCTCACAATCTCCCTTTGCATAGTGTCAAAATCAAATCCTTCAGAAATTTGCTGCTCATTAATGGTGTCCTGCCCCAGTCCACAAACACATGCCTGCTGTAAGGAGTTAGATGTGTTTATTCACACAACTACCCCTGGGCTTTCCCCAAGTTCCCACTGGGGCGGCCCCCTTTAAGTCTTTTCTAACTCCCGGACAATAGTGGCCTAGTCCACTATTCACAGCACCTAAGAAGTCCCGTTGGATCACAGCTCAACGAAAACAACCACAGTTCCTATCCGTTCAGGCAAGGCAGAAACAAACATGACTCCACTGAGTTGAAGCAGGACAAAGGCAAGCATGACTCCAACAGATCCAAGGCATAATGAAGAACAAAAGGGTTCCAAACATTCACGGTGAGTTGGAGTATGAGTGGTTGCCTCCAACACCAACCAAGTTCAAAATCCTTGTTAAGTAGGTGCCAACCATTAAGAGGGGCGAGGCTACCTCCTCATGATTAGTCTCACTGATTTCCATAGCACCTCTCTCCACTGGGTCTTGCATGTCCTTGGATCGGGAAGGGGTGGCAACTGCTCCTCATCCACGCTGACTGGTTGCAGCTGCATGTCCTCTCTGGATTGCATGGCCAGCTGTTCTTCCAGCCACTCCCGGCATCCTCCAACAATCTGGGAATTGCTTCACCACAATCGTCCTCTTCCACTGCTATTTGTCTTACCTCCAGCACAGACCCTTCCAGCTTTCCCTGATACACCACATACTCCTTCTAGGATAGCTCTTCCTCCTCATCCAAGCTGGAATCTGAGGGAGCCATCACAAAGGGCCTCAGCAAAACTAATGGAATACTACTACAGATTTTAGGGATAAAACTCTTGTCACGCACGGGATCACATAACTGCAAATCTCACACTGAACTTTCAAGTGTATTTACAAAAACACAGAGAGAGAGAAAGAAAGAGAAAAGGAGTACTCTTCATCCAGAGGACTTTGTCTATTTGTTGCCAGCCTATTTGAAATAAGTAAAACATTGTGATTAAAATTCAGAGGGATGTGTTACTCTAGATGTATTCCAGATGCGCTCTGCTAGTTGTTTTCAAAACAGTGTTCCAAGAAACCTTGGTTTCCTTGGAAGCTTATCAACTGTACCCCGACCAAAAGATCAGCAATGGCATGATCCCTCACATGAAAGTTTGGGATGATTTACCAATTCCAGTGGGTATTCTGGAAGCTGCAGTCACAAAACATCTGGAGCATGCCAGGTTGGGGAAAGTTATTTTAGGATTTATTCTTAGTTGATGCAAAGTGACAAGAAGGATTAACAGGTTTGGCCAGAGTTCTTTATGAACTGAATGTGCTCCAGGTTCTTCTAACACAGAGGGTTTTTAAGGCCAGAGATTCCATAGCAAATACACTCATTGCAGAAGATGTTCCCTGAAGGTGCACAGCTTCAAAGTTAGTGACCTAGGCAATACATATATGAACGTAAGGACTGAATCAGTCTAGCATTCGTTTTCCACACTATCCAACTAACTGCCAATGAATTCCTCACAAGGAGAAGATGGAAACATGTCCCTCTGCC